TTAAGGCTATGTGAACCTGGGCATTGGCGCTCAACTATGTGCATTAATCACTGTAGATCAATTTATACGTTATTGTTTTGGTATGAAGGTTGCTATCTTCAAGCTAAGCGTACTCTCAAATTTGCCTGGATGCATGTGAATTTCTTTTCACCGCTCGATCCAGCAGAACCTGCTGGATCGGGCGGTGAAATATATGGAGCGGTTTTTTTATATGGAGCGGTTTTTTAAATTTTGTCAATGCTGTTGTTAAATGAATATCATGTCACTGTTATTATTATGATCCTGCTCTCTTAGTCTGTTGGTTGGTGTCAAGTAATGCGAAAACAGTGCGAACGGAAATGTGAGCATTGTGTCCAACAACGTTCCCATGTTTTGATAGCCTGTCCAATCCAGGTTATCCAGGGTATTATTATTGTTATAACTGTATATTGGTGCCATTGCTAATAATATGATTCTTGTCAAAATGTTACCATTGTTAATGATATTATTCAAAACTCTTAAACATCGTTTGTGTTCCATGTTCAGAAGAATATCAGTCGGTGCATAATCAGTTAGAATATTTGTGGATTGGAGTTATATCATGTAATGACTTTAATTTTGCAGTGCTTTTACCGTATGTTTCTAGCAACTGCAGGTAGTATAATACTTGGTTAAAGTATTGAAATGAATGAGCAAAACGGGACCGCTCGGAAAAACAATTGAGCGATTTCAGAAACCTTAAATTGTTAGCATGAAGTTTCGTCTGAGATGAATCAGCTCGACAGCGAAGATGAGAAAGCATTCGCTTTTGAGTCGAGCAGTATACATTCATTACGTTAGCCCTGTCTCTGAGTTTCAGAACACACCGATGCAATTGAAATTTTCCAAACTGACTTCCTGACCGGAACAACGAGCCCATTCTCTCATATCTTAACTAGACAAAGCATGTCTTCTAACAAAACTGTCAGCTTTATTGCTATCAACAAGTGTTTTGTCATGAGGATAACTTTATTCATGAATCCAAATTCCGATAAATTCAAATTGACTTCACAATTTCTTATCATTCGAGTGAATGGGAAATTTAAAAAAAAATTCACAACTTCAAGCTCAACTACAAACTTCGAATCTTGTCAGCGAATTTGTTCTGGAACCTGGAACGATGATACAATAATCCCCACACATTACTCAAGTTTGAAAAGGAGAAATTGCTTGAAACATGTTTATTTATTTATGAAAATCATCAACTAATCAATTGATTAAAACGATGAACCAACAGTTTTGAGAAGAAGCTAACGAAAACAAAGCAAATTCAGTGAGAAACAATTTATGGAAAATTTTGGCAAATGAAAAATTCAAGAGAAAATCATTGGAAACAACCAATGCTTTGAAGATATGAAGGTCAGTTGAGAATGAACAGAATAACACTCGTGAAAAATTATTTGATAGAGAAATGAAAGTGGAAAAAGGCTCCATATGCACCGACCGGAATCATTTGAATATATATCATAGCGAGTGAATGAATGAATATGTGTACCAGTGGACTGCACGCGTAGTATGATGTCTGAGAGGACAGTTGAAAATTTTCAACAGAAAAACTTTATGAAACATTGCAAATTGGAACAAACTCGATCGAATTAAACAATAAGAGTAATTTGCATGAAATCATTTATAGAATTTTTTGAAGCAAACTGGGATGAACGATCCATGAGGACAGAAAGTGAACGTAAGTAAGCAAAGCGTTACACGAAAATAATGCGACGAACACTCGAATGTGCAAACATACATAATCGGTGAACGAAAACTGATAAATCTGTTGGAGAAATAAGGAAAAAAATTCGTAGGGAACAAGAAATAAGTGCTGCAGTCAAGAATGGAACGCAATGGAATGATAGGAAACACCGAGGAGTTAAACAGAAAAAAAGCTAAGGAGAGATTTCTTTATAAAAACACAATTTTCTCGTTCTCTGAACCAAATCCACTCCCAACAATTCAACAAGTGTCACGATCGTCGTCTATTTCGATTTCATTGAACTTGTTTCAAAAATGTTTAAAAAAATCTCGAAAATTCAATAACATTTCTCTAAAAAAAGGAAACAAAAAGAAAAAATGTCACAATCATTAAGTGAGAAATGAATTGAAATGTTCAAAAAAGCATGGAAGACGACGACAAATCAAACGACAAATAAAAAACAATCAAACCAACAAAAAACAAACCAACACAATTAACATCACAACATGCTTCCTCCTCACCTTCGCCCACCTACCTATCTCATCTTCATCGCTAAGATGGCCAAAAAGTCAAACTACAAACCATCCATCTAATCAAACGAACCAATGATCACTATCAAAATCAATATAATCAAATCAATTATGATCATTCATAATCCCCATACTCATCCTTTTCATTCCCTACAAAAAACACACCTACAATACTGCTCATCATTCATATAATAAGTCTGAACAATACAGTGCTTCCGAGTCTACATCAAATAAGCTTTCAAAAATCCAGCAAAAACCGAAGTTTTTGCTATTCCAGTGCAACCTTCTCAAATCACATCTACGTTTTCTCTCTCCTCACGGGTAACACTCAACCACTGATCATCCTAATCCACTTAACTAATCTTATCCCATCACCTTATTACTAGCATATCAATTCTCTGCAATATTAGCAAAATCCACGCCATCATTTCCAACGCCCACCTCCTAGCAACATTACACTAGTCACAATTCATTAATTCCTCAACATTCCATGAACAGGATATGAAAGCTGTTTGCACATTACATTATAACAGGTCAATTTTTGCAAATTTGTTGAAAATACAAAATTCGGGACATGAAATCAATTTTTTGCAATGCAAATCCGCAATCGTTGACGAGAGTCCAATACTGTTGCAACCAAAAAACACACGTTTTAGATGATAACCCAACACGAAATCGCAAACAAATCAAACAGTGATAAAATTATCAAACGTTAACATAAATTATAAAAAAGCAACATAATTAACGAGTAAATCGATCAATTAAAACAATTAATAACAACTGACTGCAAGATATATGAAAATAAAAAATTGGCTCGGCTCGCAGCAATGCAAATCATAATTGCCTTTAGCTGATCACAGAGATACGACGACGTGCCTAGGTGAAGATGATTTGAAGATGTAATATGATGTGGTCACGATGTTCATATGGAATGTGGTTTGATATTATTTGAGTCGACTGATAGATGAATAATTGATGTTGATTAGAATATTGCATAATCTCACACTGTTCTTGCTCGATTGTTTGAACCACCACATAACCACCACTGATCACTTCATTTTAATAACCATTGTCCGTAAGGTATACAGCCAATTTTTCAACAGCTACACGCGCCTCGGCTGCATTTTCGCCTTCGAAACATGCTATCAATACCGCTGAAAGTTTCAAAGTTCTGCTGAGAAAAAGAAACATCCCACATCTTAAAGCACTAAGCATGAAAGTAATGAAAATATTGACAATCTAAAGCATTCAACATGAAAGCTGAAACAAGTGTCAAAGTCTATAGAACATTTAACGAATATGAAAGACATAATCTGAAAACTTACCAGACTTTGTTTTAGCAGCGAACAGACCTGTCTTGTCCCTCTTACCGAAAATTAGATTATCTTCGGTCCGTGGAACTATATAGTGAGTACCTGCAAAAAATACCACAATTGAAGCAGTCATAATTCAAAGAAAAATTCATCAATTTCTCAGTATCTCCAAAAATTCATTCGATATGGATACATACAATGAATTAACAAAAAAAGCAGATTGGCAACGATAAATCCAAATTGAATCTAACCTTCCAGATCACATCCTGTTGACGGTACATCTCTAATATTATCGAAAAGACCGACGAATTTTCTCAGTTCTGCATCGGTGGCCTAAAATTTATTGGAGACTTAAATCTATCCAAATTTTAAAAGTGAACGTCAAAAAATTCAGCAAACACAATATTGTCGCAAACCTACTTTGAATTCGTTTTCACCCTCGGACCTCGCCCATACGGAACCATCAGGGTATCCAATAATAGCCGCACGTCGGATGCTGTTCGATGATTGAAGTAAACTGGAGATATAAGCAGTCCAACCAGACATGACGATTATGTGCTATTCCAAGTCGGTGTTTGGGCCTCTTGAAACTCCTTCAAAAATTTCGATAAAGACAAAGCTTGAGAAGACAGCTCGGTGATTAACGAACAAGTCGCAAAACCTCACTTAAATAACCACTTTAACACGTCGACTGAACGAATGCAACTGTTATGAAACTATCAACATTTCACACAAACATTTCATAACACTAAACTTTCCTCCTCGGTTCTGCATGCACATGAATGAATGAATCATCATCTGTTCTTCACCTGATTACGTTAACAAGAACCAATTCAACGCACAATATTTCGCGAAATTTCAACATATACTGACCAGAACAAACAGCTAATCAAATAAAAACATTTCGTGACAGTCCCTTCCGAAAACATTACAGAAAATGCAAATGTGTCAAACTTTTCGCACAGAATTCAATGACGACAGAATTCAATTTTTGTATTCAATTCACAGAACAGATTGATGCATCATGCATTTTGCTGTTGGTGAGTGCTGTTTCGTNGCACATGTGAAACAGTGGTCGTATTGATGTGGCGGCGGCGGTTGTTGAAACAAGCTAAAACAAAAAGGAAAACAAAACTGTGCGAAAAAAACGATAGAATGAATCAGTGTAAGCAATTGATTGTCTGTTGATTGGCACCCTAGAGCACCGTTGGCTGCATGATGCTGGTGCTGAGTAAAGTAACAACACGAATCACCACCAATACAACGAATAAATGTGTGTGTTTGTGTGTGTGTGCATGAGAGGAGCACAACAATACACAGTCATCAATAACACATCATTGTGCACAAATCAAAATCATCAACCACTGACTCCACAAACTACACACTTAAAGAAAAAATTTTTTTTGAAAAAAACCTGTCAATATAACCCAATAAATTTGAAAAATTAGCAGCAGCAAACCCATACACGAAATGACCACCACACAAACCCTTGGAATCGCATTAGATATTCAATGAGAAGGCGAAATTCGACAGCAACTAGTGTGATCAATAACGTGAGCGAGCATTGAACAAGTTCAATAAATCATTAAGAAATTATTCTTCTTATCTGAAGCCTTTGTCAGACAAAATGGAAACGTTTACTCTCAAACATTCAACAACAACACACATCGACATTTCAAAACGTTCATTTCTCTTACTATCCACTTAGCAAAGTTTTTGCATGCTAAGCATTAATCACATCATAGCTGTTGCTCATTATTGGTTTGTGTTGTAGACTAGGCAAGTGGAATGCGTACTTTAAAATTCATCACTATACGGTAGAGCGCGAATTTTAAGGTGCTTCATCTGAGCAGATCCCTTTGACTAGAAACTATCAACGTTTTAAGGATATTGCTGGATAGCTTAAAGGCAGTTTAGACTGAAGCGTATGTGCGTGCAGCAATGAGGACATCACAATGAATCATGGTGATCACAATTAACTGAACAGTTTGAAGGGATTGAACACGATAAGGTAATCTTTTGCATTGAGTAACTGCTACTGTTCGATGATCGAGTCGAAAAGGATTGTTCGGATGAAATTTGGATGAGCAATTTGAAATTCCGTGAATCCCTGAACGATTGATTGTACTGTGTCATAACTGATGTACATCCTCAGGCGTACTGATTCTTGCTAAAAGTGGAGATTTCAAACGCAGATTTGACGCAAATTCTTCATCATTTTAACATATTGCTCGATTTGTTTTAGACTAGATTTGAGTAGCCGAATCATTATTGAAACCACTGATGAATCTTAAACATCATGCATAAGTCATAAGCAACTCAGGAAATAGGAATATAAGAATGTTTGGAAAACGGGAAATTGTCCAGTCTAGCATAAAGCGAAAAAAAGATATTCGTTTACTGATGATAGATTCGAATGAGTAAACGAATGCAAATGACCTTCATTTCAGTTCTGAACAGATGGATTCATATTTCCACATCTACAAACCAGTTGAGCTTCCCTTAAACACCAAAAAAATGTTCTTTTTTATCATGCATCTCATATTTGCCCGTAGAAATTTCCATGAATTTTTTTACTGCATCAATAAATAAACGATGAATCATATCAACAGTGATTCATATTATGATGCGAATAGGTGATAATCAGTTGATTGGATGAAAGCAAATGAACTTATGGATAGGTGAGAAATAGATCATTTTTCCAATCAGTCATGAACAAACAATCATTGAATGTGCTTCAAACAGCCCGATGATCAGATCCGGAATCAGCTCTCNGGAATACGAGAAATCACTTCCCATACCAATCTCTCTTCTTAGCAAGACGAAAGAAACCAAACGAATTGATGGAGACATGAAATGCGGTCAACACACGTCCAACTATCCAAAATAAGTTCAAAATCAATGACCCAGTAAGAAAGAAAGTATTGAAACTACATAAGTAAGGTTAAAACTTTCAGTCAATAAACTAACGAAACAATAAAAAATGAGAAATTTTTATGGGTAATAAAATTCATCTTCAAGCTCTTCAAAACGATCTATCTGCTTCAGCCATTCAATTCAAAGTGCAATGCTTCGAATCGGTTTATCGTTTTTCACACACTCTCTTATTGGGACGTTATTCAGTTCAATGAAGTGCCTTAAAACAAATAAACACTAAATAAATTTCAAAATTCTCTTCAATTTCCTCAGTCGGAAGCAGAATCTGAACACCTCCGATCAATCGAATGTCGTCTCAGTGACTGCAAAACATTTTCACTTGTTATTCGAGCAAAGCGCCCTGTTTACTTTTCTCCTCATTGCTAGACAGATCGTATTTAATGACATGCATAATTCTTTGAATTTGTAATCTTCGAACAAATAAATTCTTCGAATATATGAGTTATACAAACACGTGAATGAACAGAAAAACGATACATCTGATTTTTTGAACATTCATATTGCTGAAAAAACACTGAAACTTTCATGGTGACATGCATACAATTTCATAAACCTATGAGTAGCTTCACACATACAATATAAGAATATAGCAATATATTCCAGAGAAGGATAGACCTAGACTGAAATAGTGAAGGCGCATGAATGCGAAGAAGCTTCAATGAAAATGTTCGCATGAAAATGATGCATGCCACTCTTTGAATTCATAACCAGCACGTAACAATGCGCATAATAATAATAATATATCAGTCGATTGAGATTCACTGATAAAGGTGCGTTATTATTTGATGGTTATGATAAAAACATCGAGAATGTTTATCATTTTACATCGGCATATGTGTATCGAAACAAAATGAAGCATTGCTCATGCACATTCGATCGGCTCGAATTTATATATTTAGATTGATGAAATGGAAACACTTAAAACCAATAAATTTACATGTTTAAAATGTGAATTTTTCATTCGTAACTTTTGGATGTGTTACGAAAAATTCGATTGTTTAAATGTTTTCGTCAACGTTCACGATATGATCAACCCCATTTCCAAATCATTTTCTCCAATAACATCATTGTTTTTTTCCTCATATTTTCATATAACAAATTCATCCTCCTCCTTACGATGGATGGGTGTTCTCCACTTCTTTTGTCCGTCCTTTCAAAACATCTGTTGACCATTTCATTCATTACGGCATTGATTGATTTTTTATGAGGCAAATAAGCGAATGAATTTTCATAATAAATCAATTTTTTNAAAAACGAACACTTTTGAGATTCATTCGTCTTACACAACTGAATTTCATTACGACTCGACGATTGGTGACTGCGATAAATTTCGTGATGAAATACGAGCGAAAATTTACCAATTTTCGTGTTTTTCTTGAACGAGATAATTCTGAGAAGAAGAGACAATTGAAGACAACGAGACAATGTAATTAATTTATGCCGTCTGCCAATTTATTTCAACATCGATAACGCAATGTTTCGAAATTATTGATTCATTCAGCCCATCCAAACGAATCGTCGTTTCGAACCAACTAAAACAATTGCACACGGCTGGCTTTCTCAGCGAAAATATGAAATCGTAATTTTGAGAGAACGCTGAAACCTTCTCATCAACAATATTTGCTGAGTTTTTGTGGATTGATCGTCTGGACGAAATTCATTAGAGATGGATGGTCAGATTCAAAAATAACGTGATAATATTAACATTAGCAGCAAATTTCACATGATTATTTTATTCAATTAGTGAGCATAGAATGACTCAGACTAGTAGCACAGCATCAATAAAGATAACAAGTCAAACTTGTGAGCTAAAAATGGAACAACTTATTGATAAATAACGAAAATTGAATGAAAAACAACGCATCAGTCATCATGGTACGTGACTTGTTACGATAGAGATATAATCTTTCT